TTTGTTGAACAAAAGCCTTGCCATCTTCACTGGCCTTCAAGTCCATTTCCACGCATAGCCTTTGAATAATAATACCCCTTCTGTAGAAGGTAATGCAGCTCTGTAAAAACAGTCAAGCTGGCAAAACTGTTCCATTCAGATTTAGTAATTGCTGCTGAGCAGAAACTTGCCTGTGAAATTTCTACCTTCCAGCATCTGTAAATAGGGGCAGATCACATGTAATGCAAGCATTGATTCAATGAAACTTTTCGGCCGGTATGCACAAGGTTAGAAAGCATCAGTTGGGGGTAAAATGTGTTACTAAACACTTATGCTTACTGCAGCACTGTGGGACATTCCACAGCACTACAGAATTGTTCGGGTTGGAAGGGACCTCTGTGGTATCTCTTAAACATGTAAAATACTTCACATTATTATAATAGAATCCACTGATAATACTTTGGCTGTTACACACTTGTCACAGTTGGTTTCTTTGGCTTTTCTTTACTTTTATTAAGATAGTTTTCATGTGAAAAGATATTTTACAGCTACAAATGGTGTTAGATTAAAAATACCCTGTGAAGTATCCTGATCTACAGGAAAAATAAATTTTAAGTCTCAAAATATTTTATCTGGATCAAAACACTTTTCATAGTTGCTATCACACAACAATTACCTTTCAATAATCTCCCTTTGTCTACAGAATAAAGAACTGATGTAGGAACTGTCTTTGATTTCTGAGATAGGACTGTTTCATATTTCACATGTTAGTTTAAAGGAGCAGTAGTTATTTATATATTTATTTATTTATTTTAGTCCCTACTAAATAAACAGCTCCTTTCTCTTCAAACCTCATGTACCGTAGCATAACACTTGCCTGCACTAGTCTTCCTTCTTTCCTCCTTCCCTGCTTGTTCATATGCCCTTTTAATTTACTTATTTAATTTTCCTGTTTCTGTTCCTATTTCTCATTTCCCCTCTGGTTGTCCCCTCAAGTTGGTGGTTAATATGAGGAGGGGTTTTCTGAAGCAATGAGGTCCTTCCAGGTAAGCAAAATCCAGCTAAAACTACGTAGATTTCAATTTTAGTCTTAAAACCTGCATACAGTTATACCAGACCCAAGACTGATGTTTGAAGCTAAATGGCTTTAAAAATAAAACTATTTTCATTTTTCAGCAAAAGCTTCCAACCTAACAGTTTTAGAACCCTCACATATTGTTTATAGCAGTATTCGGGAATGTATTACTGAAAATTCAGGAAACCAACTCTCTGTTCAAGAGAGCTTAGAAAGAAAGATCCAAATCCTGCAATCAATTGATGCAGACAAATGCCACTCCATTAATTTAATAACAGTTTTCTGCAATCTGCTTTCAGGGCTGAATTTTACACAAACAGCATGGAGGAGATTTAGATGCAGAGTGATATAATCTTGGTGTACGTTTTGTGCTGTCTTTTAAGTGTTTTACTATCCCTACCCTATGCAATCACTCCTCATGCCCTGCCCTGCTCAGCTTTCTTATCAAAGTATGCATATACTGTAGCTATTTCCCAGCTATCATTGTGCTAATGTAGCTAAAATTGAGGAATTCAAAAATTGTTATCTATATAGCTGTTAAACTAATTCCACCATTTTGAAGGAAATAGGCTCTTTGTGGTGCTTTCATGATTTGATAAGAGGACTGTAGATTTCATTCCATCATAATTCAGACATTTTGTATTTCACTCCAGTCCGCACTGAGTTGCTAACAATCGTCTGCAATCAAAGCACTTGTGGATGTCTCGTACAACCTTTTACTTCCAGTTTGATTTAATCTGTAATTCAATTTCACATTCAAAGACTGTCCTCAACATACATCTAAGATCCATTGATCCCAAGCTATATTGCAGGTCTGTAACTTATGAAGTACAGGCTAGGTCATGATCCATGGCAAGTTCTTATCTATAGTGTCTTTAACCCTGTGGGGATGTCATGCAGAGAGTTACAGAATGAACAAACAAGAGCTCTAGCAAGTAAAGCCCTATATAAGGATACAAACCAATTAGAAACTATTACCTGTCCCTCCCATTTGCTCTTCTCTTGCAATTAAGTGGAATTCGTGCCATATCAAGTGGTACTTGTTTCCTAATTGACTTATCAGACTCAGTTCTGTACAGTACTGATAATTTCATATTTTTTAAGAGCCAAAACCAGTATAATTGGCAGTCATAGACTATTACTTTTGCATTTTACCACTTTTTTTTTTTTAGATATACCATAGTTGAAACCAATATGAACCTAAATTCCAGATGATTGTCACTATGCAAACATAAATTCCATTGCCCATGAAAATCAGAATCAGGGTACACCTGCATGAATAATAGTTTTTCTGTTTGTGATGTCAAAGGGATCTTTATGCTGATAGATTTATTGCTAATGGAATGGTGTGTGGTGCATGGGCTGTCATGTACTAGATCTGAAGACCTAAAATGACAACTAAAACCAAGATAAGGTATACTTTGCTCAGGAAATGTCTGCAAGAGTTGACTATATTTTGATTTATTTCACATCAATTTCTAGCTTTATAGGTGTTGGAAATAGAAGACATGTATCAAAATAAATTATTACTAACATTCTCCTGTAAGTTAGAGAAGAAAATCTTACCTGACACGTGGATACAACTCTCATCTGAGTTTTTCTGGTACTAGTGCTTCTTACCCAAATGATCAAAACCTCAGGGAGCATCACTGTGATAGAACTGTATTCAGACCAGCCTGTCCAGGTGCAGTAAAAGAAAACATTGAGTGAGATATTGCCATTGTTACATTACTTGTGATAGAGGATTACTGTTCTTGGCTAGCAAAAATCAGTATCTCTTCTGTCTTGATTGACACAGAGTGACTGGATCACTCAAGAAACTATCTTGAAATTCTTACTCTACCTGAAAGCTTATTTTGCATAAATCTATACATTCACAACAAGCAATTTGAAAACCACTTTAGAGCAGTTCCAAGTACATGGCCTGAGATACTGTTTGTGGTGACAGGAATACACTGCTACAGTCAAGGATTGACAAGACAAAGTATGATGCTGCTTATAGCCCATTTCTTGCATAGCGTCACATGCTGGTCAGCAAGGATTGTGGGCCTTTAATTTGGAGTATTTTGGGGGAGGGGGGATTCTTTTCCACTCCTCAAACTTGAAAGCTAAGAATAAACATAACCTGCGCTTGGCATTTAAAATACGATCATCTTTGCTGGCTTCTCTGCAAGATTATGGAACTTGCAATCCAATTGAGATATTTTTGGAGCTAGAAGTATCATATCCAGCTGTGAACCACATAGTTCCTCCATTGTAAGACACCCAAAATCTTGGATAGCAATCCTTAAACATGTTACGTGAACAGTTCTGCAATTGCCAGTGCTGGTGTTCACACCAGTTATTGCCTCTCCTTTTCAATCAAACACACAGACACAAGTGAGAAAAAAAGAGGGACAATTTTTTTTGACAAGTTGCTCAAAATAAATGGGAGATTTTGAAAGTGCTGAGAAATTCGGAATGACAGAGATAGAGCAGAACCCTGTGGTCAGAGAAAAAGTGGCACTGTCAAAAGTGCAGAGCAAAGCATGAATCAACTTGCAAAAGGACCAGTCCTGTATGACTTTGTACTCTATGTCAATATATAGTAATGATGTCCGTGCCACAGAGATTTCTTCGGGAACACAGAGAATAACGGCAAGGAAGGGTTACTGGTACCGATTTAGACATCGGTGCATTTACAGATAGCAAAAATAGAGTTAGCAGATCATCCAAAGCATGGCTCAGTAGAGCCTTTACACTTCCAAAACCCAAGGATATACATTAATTTTCCACACCTAATGCACCGTGATATCCGTATGTATTTAATTTCTTTGAGATATGTTCCATTCCTTTTTGTTGAAGTAGCCAGACCGAGAGTAGGTTTGCCTACACGTGGCACAGTGGTACTACGGGCCCAGAACAAGTGTTCCCTGATTATTAGTGCATACACCAGATCTGAGAACAAATGCTAGATGTACTGGCATCACTTGAATTCTTTGGTTGTACTATTCTAACATTCCCATGGAAATAGAGTAGTTTTCTGCTTCTGATTTGATCTTGCAATGTCAATCAAAAGCTCTTGTCAGTCCAGCGCTGAACACTACTAGCCTTCAGCCTCAGGTTCGTGTTGATACCTGGTTAATCATGGTGAGGGAAACTTTTCTGTGGTATAATGGTAATTTACAGCAGAGACTCGGAAAGCAGCAGTGTCAGATGTAGTCCCGTGTTGGCACTTGCAGGTGAGTTTCGTACTGAAGAATTAGTGTTTTACCTCAAGACCTCCTGTTCTTATCATATGACTGCAGAAGAAAAAAGTCTTTATTATAGACCTGAAGTAAAATGATTCACTGCACAGAGTAGCCACCATCTTCCTTTCAGGGCTGTATTTCAAGAGGTTTGTCAGTGAGGCAGACAAGCTGTGTGAGAACAGAAACCTCCACTGGTGAACAGGGAGAGTGGCTCTGTGCTATCAGCTGTGGAACAGAAAGCTGCAAAATGGGGGGGGGGGGGGGGGGGGGGAAGTGGGGCTTCAATTTTAACTGATGCTTAAACATTCTTTAACTTAGCTGTTTGGGGGGTTTTGGTGGGTTTCTTTTTTTCTTTTTTTTTTTTTTTTGAATACAGAAATTAGACATTTTAGGTTTGCCATAGGCACTAAATCTATTCTGCTTCATCTGGAAAAGTGTATTTTCTCCTGCTGTGTAATTCCAATTGTTACAAATGGGAGAAGGTGGTGAAAATGTCATGGTGAATTCCCCCAGCCTTTTCCTTATGTATTTTTTGTCCTGGAAGCAAACCCCAAGCAGATACTTACTTGGTCTCCAACGGAGAGAGGGGTGTTTGGAGGCGGTAGCATTGGGGTGGAAGGGGCAGCACAATTTAGCCGCGCTGCCGGGGCAGGGCGTGAGCGGCTCCTTGCCGGAGGGACACGCCGCCAGGGGTGTGAGCGGGGGGGGCACCTGGTGGATGCAGCGGCAGGTGGATGCTGCGGTGCTCGCCGTGGGGCTTCCCCGCTCTTCCACGCTCCAGACACGGTAGCTGCCGGGCGGTATTAAATGGCTGCCTGCTTTTCGGGGCTGCCGGCTGCTTTGCGGGTTGGCTGTTCATCATCTTAGCAGCCCTGCCGCCTCTCGGGCAGCGCCCCCCCGGCTACGCTCCCCCAGGTGAGGCTTCGTCCCACCGCCTCCCTGCACGCCTCCTCCTCAGCCCTTCCCGAGGAGCAGCCACCGCTTCTCCCCGTGCAGCCGACCCGAGCCCCTCCCCACTGCTCCTGCTGCTCCTGCTCCCGGGTCAGAGCGCGGCCAGGAGCCAGGGCTGGAGCCGCGCACCTCCTGGCCCCAACGGCAAGAGGCGGCTCACTTCCGCCGGCGGCGGAGCAGAGCCGGGAGCTCTGGAGCTCCCCAGCCCCGCGTGAGCAAGACTGAACAGTGTCAGCGAGGAAGCGAGCTCTCGAGCCCATCCTGCTCCCTGTGCAACAGCCTCACCCTTGTCCCTCCCCTTCCCCCCCGCGTTTGTGAATTCAGCCCCCCCCTCACAGCGAGTTGAGTGTTTCTTTTGTTAATTGGCGCCCCAAGTATTCCAAATCCCTTCCCCGCGCAGCCCGGGCCGGCCGAGGACGTGTGCACGCCCAGATCCGCTCCGCGGAGCAGCACAGATCCGCGGGGCCGAGTGGGTATGTGCGGGAGGAGGAGGAGGTGTAAAAGGAGCTACGAGCACAAAGCAGATTTGCGAGGAATAATTTAGCTCCGGTGGTTGTTGTTTTTCGGGGTTTTGTTTTTTCTTCCCTCTTTCTTTTTTTCCTTTTTTTTTTCCTCTCAGGATTTAAATGTCACTCAAAGCATCCCCAAATCAGCTTTCCGCTCGTCTCCGGCTTCTTCCGAAGCATTAATTGGATCCTACGCTGCTTTTGAAAAGCTTGGGTGCTTTACCCACAAAGGTAAGTGGGCACTGGGTCTGGATGGTCACTAAGTGCGCGACTGCGTTTCACGGGGGTGTTTTTCTGCCCCCCACCTCCCCCAGCCCCGTGGCTTAGCTCTACCTGAGGAACTTACATCCTTGCTTAAACACCGGTCGATACGTGGCAGACGCGCAGCCGGGCTGGGCCGGAGCGGGGCCGCGGGGGCTCCGTGCCCGCCCCTCGGGCACCAACAAATGCCCCGCGGGAGCCGGCGCCCCACTACCCCCGCTCCCCCCGAGCCCGGTGCCTCTGTCCCTGGCACAGCGCGGTGAGGAAGGAAGCAGCCTGATCCCCTCTTGCGAGAAAACATTCGTCATCATTTTTTTCTCCCCCGTGAGAAATACCGTAGGCGCCCATCTCCCCTCCTCCCCCCGCCCGCCAGCGCTGCGAGCTCCGGCTCCTTCGCCCGCACTTAGCCTCGGGCGGCTCTTTCCAGGGACCACAAAGTTGAGCTGCCCCCGTTCGCCCCCACCTGCCCCCGGCACCTTGCGCTCGCTGTGCATCCCCCTTTTAACCTGTTCCCCCTCTGTCTCATCCACGTCCGTCCCCTCACCCCCCTTTTAAACTAGGCTGCAAAGCCTCTGTGCCCTGCAACTCCTAAAACTTCTCTTCTTGCTACGATTTATATTGTATTCTAACAAAAACGACAACAAAAACACTCGAACCTCTTGTGGATGACTTTTTTTTAATTATTATTATTTTAAATAATGCATTTCCTTCTTCCCCTTTAATTTTTTTCCTTTTTTTTTTTTTTTTTTTTCTTGGCAAGGAAATTTGCTCCATCTCCAGCAGCAACCACTGCTCCTTTTGATGTTGTGGTACGCCGTGCGCATGCGCTTCACATTAGAATTACTGCACTGGCCAGAATAAGTTGGATCTCTTCTTCTCTTCACTGAAACCCTAAATCATATCAAAAACTAAAGGGATGCTGAGAGTCCGGAAAAAGGGTTACTTCGGGATTTGGTCATTCCCTTTACTAATAGCCGTGGTGTGTGCACAGAGGTAAGTGATGAAGGTATCTCTTTTGCTTTACTTTGAATTGCATGTATGCTGCCTCTGAGAGGAATGTGCAGCTTGGGTCTGAGAAATAAGAAATAATAAAATGTTAATCTCTCTTTTTCTGTAGTGTCAATGACCCTAGTAATATGTCACTGGTAAAAGAGACTGTGGATAGACTGCTGAAGGGCTATGACATTCGCTTGAGGCCAGATTTTGGAGGTAATTTGCCTGCTTTTGAATAGAAGCGATTACATCGCCGGGCTGGGCACCTTTGACGTGTGGGGGTTTAAAACGTGGTGGGTGCTGTTGCTTTGGGGTGCGCGTGTGTTGCCATTTTCTTAAGCTGATCTAAAGTTAAGCCCGTTGTTACTCAATTTTCTCAGCACAGGATGCTCTTAATGCGATCACTTAAATCTCTGGCATATTTGCAGTCGGTCCCTCATTTTGTGTGTGTGCTGATACTTCATTAAACTGTAATTAAACCCTTGGTTAACTGGGTTTATCGAGATGCAAATCTCTTAAGTTTACCCAGCGCTTGCTGCTCTCAGCCTAATGTGCCTGTGATCACAGTTACTATTTTTGAGTACAAGATGTGCTGTTAACTGATACAAAAATGTCATTTAACCCCCTGCGTGCTCCATACTTCGAACTACTTTGTTTATTGCGGACGTGTTGGCTGTGGGTGTCCCCTGACACCCCCGCCACCCACCCCCTCCCCGGGAGCTCGCTGGCCGCCGTCCCCCGGGCTACCCCGTGCGCCGAGGCTGGGGGCGATGAGGACCCGGGTGGCAGCCGCGGAGGCCGGGGCCGCGTTCCACGGCGGGGTTCGGGCGGGGGTTGGGGGTGTCCCCACGCTGCGGGGTTTGATGGGGGGGGGGGGGGTGTCTCAACGCCGTGGGCCCGGGCGGCCGCGGGCAGCACGTGTGCGCGTTACATAAAGCCCGGCCCCGCTGGAGGGGGCCGCGATCCCGGTGCCGCTGCCCGGTGGGCGCCTGCTGCGGGGCGGGCGGGGGGGTGCGCGGTGTGGGAGCCTTCTCCCTTCCCGCTGACTTCGTGGGCTCGTTCAAACGCCGTTTCGTCTGTACGCTGTGAACTCCGGTAAGAACGAGTTAAGTTCTCGGGAGATCACATTGCGGACCGTCTCGTTGGTTTGCAGGTCCCCCGGTGGCTGTGGGCATGAACATAGACATCGCCAGCATAGACATGGTCTCGGAAGTCAATATGGTGAGTTTTCAGGGCTGGGGCTGGTGGCTCTCGTAAGGGGGCGGCTGTCGCTTCCCCCGCCCCTGCCAAGGCAGAGCGGTGCCCGCGGGCTTGCGGGGTCCCGGCGCGGCCTCGTGCCCCGGGGTGGAGCACGCCGCCTCCCGCGGGGTCGGCAGCGGCCCGGAGAAGGGTCCAGGGTCGGCCTCGCCGGAGCTGGGGCCGGGGCGACGGGAACCGCGGGACCGGGTCCTGCGGCGGCGCTCCCGAGGCTCGGCCCGCTCTGCCGCGAGCAACGGCGCCCCCTGCCGGCCGCGCGGCCGCACAGCACCCCGCTGCTAGCCGGGAGCGCGTCCGCGGGGACACGGAGACGAGGTGTCGGCGGGCGGCCCGGGTCTGCGCCGTTGCTGGTTTCGGTTTCTGCTGTGATATGAAAAAAGAATTTGCAGTTTTGTCTTAGCAGTGCACTTACGATTAAAAAAAAAATTAAAAAGTTGTTTTTTTTTGTAACTTAAAATAGTATTTTGGATGGTTGTGACCGAGTTAATGATTTAAGAAGTTTTAATGGTTCAATATGTTTGTTTCTCTTAACTGGTTTGCACTGGCTGTGCTCAAATGCTGAACTTGTTCATAGTGTAATAACTCAGTACTTTCTATGTTTCAATCTCGTTACCTGGGAGACTAATGAAGTGTGGAAAGAATTGGAGAAGTCTCGCATCTGTGCTGTAGGAGAAGCTGTTCCTGGCTTACACTAAACTTTCTAACATTTCCTCTTTTTTTTTTTTTTTTAATTTTTTTTTTTTAATTATTTACTTTGAGATGTTTGGGATCAAGTTTTGAAGTTTTCCTCTTGGTTAAGGACACAGGATTTGGCCTGGTGCTCTAAGGCTTTAAACAAGAAGGACAAAATAAAGACACTGAAACATGGCAGCAGCAAGTGATACAAAATAAATGTGGTTTTGTGAAATATTTGTTACTGGTGATAGAAGCTTGTTTCTTGAAGCAAACTATTATTCTTGAACACGTTGTAAGGAAGCATCTTTTAAATACAAATAGGGTTATAAGGATAGTGCTGAAGCTGCAATGAAGCATTTGAATGTAGTATCTTGAAAGTTATTGGTTGTATTAATGTTACTTTACTACTAAAATATTTTGTTTAATTCCTCAGTGGCATCTTTGGGTTCTCAGACATGTTGCACTGAATGAGCTGGCAAAACATCTGGTCTCAAACTGGGTGCACTGTATGAAATAAAGGAGTTTTCTCGTAATGTGAAGTATAGCCTTTGGCCTGATTTGAGGGTGACACTACTAGTGGTTGTATTGTGAAACTGGGAGGTCCTGGTGAGAAAGCATGGTATCTTCAAGATACCATGAAAATAATGGATAGTTTTACCTTGAGCAGAATTACTTGTAAAATATTTCCAAGTGGCTACAGTGAGCTTCCAAACTGTTTTGCCAATCTTGTAATTTAGTTATCTACCTTCAGGAGCTTTAAGTGCAAAGAAAAAAGATAGCATTGTATTTTAAACCACTTGCTTTTCATTAAAAGAGCTATGGGTAGCAGAGATAAGGATGCATTGGGTTATATCTTAGACAGCCATGAGCAGGGTGGGAATGGTGACGGTTTTCTTGCTGAATTGATGGAACTGCCATCTACTAGGTCAGTGTTATATCCTCACATCTCTTTGAAACTGGAAGGTGGTGCCAATGTTTTCTTTTCTTGTGAAAAGATTGTGAAGATACTTGTGAGTCTTTTCTTCTTTTAATGATTTCTAGAATGTTGGTCTCCAATTAAAGGTGAGAGTGCATCAAAATACTGTGATCTGGCACTTGCAAGCTTACTAAAAAAACCACAACAGTGTATTATATTTAGTGTTCTGTAGTCAGTTTATTGTGTTTCTGCAATGGAATGCAACCTTTGTGTGAAAGGTCTTTTCAGGCTATCTGCAGAACTCCAGGGGGAGTGAGGAGAAAATGTATAGGCAATTTTGTCCCAAACATTTGCCTAAAGTGTTTCAGCTCTTGGCTTATTTTACTCTTAAACTACCTGTTTCTGAAAACCAGACATTCATTTTACATATTTTTTTTTGTGTTTTGGGGTGTGTTTTTTTTTTTTTTTTTTCCAACTTCTAGTTTCAGAAGAGGTTCCAAAGCAAGTTTTCCTCCATCTGCTTGTCTGCAAAATGTAACATGTAACAGTTAATTTTACAATGGTCTGTATAGCCTAACAAGTACTAACATACGCTGAAAGGCCTGAAAGAAATGAGATGTGTATATCAGGTATTTTGTTGTACTTGCAAGGTCTTGACTTTGCCTTGCAAAGTCATCAGAATTTGGGGTAGAAACCAGGAGGAATGCCATGGAATACTAGGTGATGCAAAGCTTTCTGAGATGGTAGGAGACACAGAAAGAATGTTTTGAGTTTATGGACCTACTTTTCTGAGCCATGGGCTTGCTGTTGCTCTGCCTGTAGTCATGGCAAATACCACTGACTTGAGATGAAGGCAAATCGTTGCCTGGGATAATGTATTAACATTAGTGAGATCACATCTTGCCTTGAGAAGAAGGCTAAATAATCATAGTTATTTGTCTTCCAGTTGTTTTTGTTAACTCCAGCGTTAACAAACTTTAATATTATCATCCTTGCATTTCTCTTCCAGCCTTGGCATATTCCAGCTGCCATATACATTTTTTGCTGCTCTGCAGACAGAAGGCTTGTCTAGAGTGTCATGAAGTAAATCATAAACATTTTACTTTGCTGAACAGGAGAATTTAGATTTACTGTTATAGAAAATGAATATGTGTTTAGGATGCTCAGTAATATTATTGTTGACTTTGTATTCTTAAAGAGGTGATAGTTACTTCATGTCATGAGAAACTCCTAGTGTAAGAGGCTTTACAACTGCCTTCCAAATAAGTTGAAGCTGAAAGATGTTTAACCTTTTGTAGTCAGAAACTTGAACTATCATATACCTGAGTTTTCAAGAATGATTTCTAAGTACTGGTACTTGTGAATATAATTGTTTTCAGCTCTGGGGAGTGCACTAAATGCCCCTAAGAAAAGTGAGAGCTTCAGTCACATGTAGCTGCTTACAAGTGTCATGACTGGACTTATTTCTTTGTATTTTGCAAAATAAAAATATCCATATGGTAATAATTTTATGCAGTACAATAATGGCTGTGGCTAATTTCGCTTACCTGTCTGGACCAGGCCCTGCAGTAGTGTTGATTGTATGCTTTATGCTAGTGATACTGTGGATTTTCTTAAGGTTTCCCTTGTTCAGATAACAATGGAAAACAAAACATGGAGGGTCGTGAAAGCTACTGAAATGGTTTTCCTGGGCTAATGAGTTTGGTCTTACATAAGATTAGCTGTATTGCAGCGAGTCTAATGCAATGTTCTTAAGATAATTTTCAGGTGTTTCTTACTGTACTTGAATTTTATTCTTAGCATCTTTTTCCTTAATACTTAGTGGTAAGGAAATAATTGATTGAAAAATGATACTTTCAGAGGGCTTCATAGTTTCTTTTTTCCTTTTTTTCCTTTTTTTTCTTCCCCTCCCTCTTAATAACTACTGCTACCTGGGCTGTCATGTTTCCACATTGTCATCTCCTTATTTAATTATTGAAGTAGAACCCTTGACAGCACAGTAGCTTAGACTGTTCTCCATTCTTGTTTTCTCTCCTTTCCTCCCAGCAGTTCCCTCCCTCTCTTTTAAAAAATTGGTACAGGTTCATTGAGAAAAACACAAGTACATTTTCTTCCCTAGACACCACTGAAGATTCTGCTTAACATGTTGTGCATTTGATTATCTAGATAAGACATGAGGATTTCTATGGATAATGTTGGTCATGTGGTGACTTTCAGCATCTTGGCTTATTCCCTACTAAATAGGTCAACACTTCTTCTTTGCTTTTTTTATTTTATTTTTTTTCTCTTTTTCCCTTTCTTGGTCTGTGCTATTCTGGGATTATAGCACAGGATGTCTTGAAAAGAGAGAAAAATGTTCTGTGGATGTATTTTTTTTTACCCAGGAAATACACACTTTTTGAGGTAAAAGGGTTGTATATTTAACTATATGTAACTATTCATATTATGGGTCGTTGAGGGTCTGCAGAGAGGAATTTGAACTGTGTGTTTAATTTAAAGTATTTGCTTGCTTATCGTTTTACAGATTTTGACACATGGACTCAGTATGTGTACATGGAGTTAAACAGATACAATAGATTGGTTTGTCTTAGTGGGAGCCATTAGGGTTGATTGAGTGCATAATCCTTCCATCAAGTGGGAGTTGGAGAAACAGAGGAGCTGTTATCATCTATCAGGGAAAGGTTTACTTGTTAGTGTATGCCAAGTTTTACACAACAGAATGTAGTAACCTCAAAGCTCTAAAAAAACCCCCAGATTTTAATACTATATTTCATTTCTGTATTTGAGATATGCCAAAGCTGCATAAAATAGTATATGATACTCACAGGTCAGAATATTTTCAGTCCAGAAAAGTACAGGCACAGCTATAATTTGCTGCTAGACCTCTCTGAGTTTCAGATGCTTTTGATGAGACTCACTACTGGTTTTCTTGAAATCTCTGACGTTTTCTTAAGCTGTTTTCAGTATGGGGCATTAACAAAGCTCAAGAGACATGTTTAGATTATGAGAACAACGTAATCTTGTGTGGCTGCCTCTCAAGTTGCAGCGATTATCCTTATGTGTGTAAAGGGGAAGGGCTTGTGGAGCGGGGTTTAAGTGGTAAGGAAATAGGGTGGAGCTGTTCCAAAGCAGAAAACTCTTCCAAAAAGTTACGGGCAGGGGGGAAGCATAAAACAGGAAAAAGCATCCTACAGACACTGGTACGGAAAGAGGTGTAGAAAATGGTTCCTGTCAACAAGATTTTCTTCTCTCAATCTATTCGAGTTGTACATTTAGCTGTACACAATTCATAGAACATGTAGAGGACAGGACTAAAAATGCACTGAAAATGAAATATTAGAAATACCAGAAAGTTATCGCTTCGATAATCCTA